GTTCGAATAATTGAAAAAATGAAAATAATCATGTAGTATCGATTAAACAATGGTTTAAAAAATATAATGAAATCGATTGAATTATCACTGAGATCAAAAATTTAATCGATTAATTTTAAAAAATGTATTGTTAATCGCAATGTATAAATGAATATTTTTATTACAACTGCTAGTTCTAGAATTAGATTCTTGAAAAGTGTTTGTATACTTAATAGGTATATATATGTGGCAGATGGTGGCAACTCACGAATCATGAAATGGACTACGAACTATAATGCAGGTGGCATTTGTGTAGTTGGTTGTACAGGAACAGCTGGATCGGCTGCAAATCAGTTACGCGGTCCACGAGATTTGAAATTCGACGCATCTGGAAATTTGTATGTTAGTGATCAAGGTAATCAAAGAATACAAAAATTTATGATCCAATTATCAACAACGAATTGTACTATGAGTAAGTACGCTCGAATGAAAAAAAGCTTGTCAGTATAGTCCCAAGCAAGATTAAATGTAAAACTTATATACGAGTTATACATTTATGAAGTACCACAGAGCATACTCTAGATTTTCCAATTTTGTTTGAATTTGAATTAATTTTTAATATTCTAATAGCCGAGAAATTTCAATGGTTGAAAACCTATGAATCGAAATGACATTCCGAAGGTTGAAATGTGATTGTTAAGGAGTGTTAAATTATGTGGTGAGAAAAGTAAATCACCATCTCCTTCCACTCTCTAGCTTGCTCCCAAAACACTAATAGACAGAGGGAAATGAATGGATTTTTGAAATAAATAAATAAATACATTTATTTATCTTAGTAATCATTTATTTTAATAATTATTTTACAATAAAAATTTCGTGAGCCAAAAATAGTGTGACGGTTTAGCAGTGTTATAGAGATATCAAGATGCTCCTGTGTATATTCTGACATCAATCATTATATATGAATGGAGGATTCTCATGTATGATTGAAGTGGCTCCATCATGTTTCACATTCTAATTGAGTGAAGAGTACTCTGGAAGCTTTTTTGTATAATGAGTTCCGCAAAATTGACTTTTTCTCTATCGAAGTCAAAGGCAGATGAAATTCTCATATGTACATGTTCTGGATCGTTTGTTGGCTGCTTTGAAATATAGGATGTTGAGAAAGTTATTCATAATTTATATTTATAAGAAAAATATTAGGAAAAAAATGCTTTAAAATATCAAATCTGACTTAGATAAAGAAAATAATATTTCACATATTATGAAAAAAACAATATCGCTCTTTTTTCAACTAGTTTATGCTGTATTTTAAATTGAAGACCGAGCTTCATATTAGTATATGAAACTTTTATCGAAAATATTACATGCTTTTTTTTTCTAACCTCTGTTCGAGAAGACAAATGCACTATTTTTCCATCATTCGCAAAGAGCTATTTTTGTATATCGAAGTCAATTCTGATACGTTTTATATAAATATGAAATATGAATACTTCCTTATCAGCACTAATAGATTCAACTGCTTTAGTCGAAATTTAGCACAGATACTCCAATGTTTTGAGTAGTGAATTCTTGGACACTGTCTAATGCTTTTAAAGAACTTTTCATGCAGTTAGATCATATTTATTCTTCGTGTCTACTATTAAACATGACGGTACATATGTTTACTTTATTTTAGGTGGCTAAAAATACCAAAAAGAAGAACAACAACCAACTTTGTAGTCGATCGATTTGAAGCAGGACTTAGATTTCAATAAAGAACACTAAATTCTATATATACAGCATATTTAATATCCAAGCGTAGTTAAAATTCCATCCCTATTATTGATCGAGTTATTTCAATAAAATTTTCTCTAAGGGAGAAGTGATAGTTGTTTATGAAATGTGTGTGTTTATTCATTTCTATTTGTGATATATTCATTTAATAAAAAAAAAAGAAGGGTACATTTGAACAAGCAGACTCTTTCTGGAAAAGATTTTTTTTAAATGGAACGTCCAGGAGAGAGATGTCAAAAAGTGCGATTTTTACTTGTACGTCCTTCATGCATGATTTTGAGATAATTTTATTGAAAATTAAAAACGAAATTTAAAATACAAAGTTTATTTAACAGAAAATTTCATGTCTTTATAATCTTTGTGCGTTAGAATGAAAAAAAATTCTTAATTTTTAGATACTTATTATAACATCAGCGCTATTGAGTGTACCACTACCCATATTGACCAACCAATATGAGATAGTATATGTAGCATCGATAGTTGTTGAAAACATTTGACTTAAATAATCAGCATCCCCAACAGCTCCATCAATGTAAAAACGACTTCCTGATTGAGCTCGGTATAAATAACCCAAATAATTAAAATTATTTGAATTTGCCTTAATTGTACCAGCAGCTGTTGCACCGCCCGGATTACAGTAAATCCATGGTGATGTTGTACCAGTTTCAAAACCATTATTTAAAATGAGTTCAACAGTGGGATTTGTTATACTTCGTACAGATACAGTATCAAGTGCAAAATAACCAATATCTTCACGAAAAGCGAATGTAATACGAGTTTGATTTGAAATAGCTGTATAAGTATATGTATATTGTGTGTATGTTGATATATTTTGACAATTATCACAATGATAAAGTGTAGTAACACCTTTCCATCCAGAAGTACATCCATTCGAAGTAATTGCTAAGAAAAGTAAAAGTAAAATAAAATGTTATTTGTACGAGATAAAATACTTACATTCAGTTGTCACAGTTGTGGTAGTGGTTACAGCTAAATATAATAATACATAAGTTAGGTTTCATATACAAAGATCTATTTGTAAAAATTTCACACTATTTTGTTTTACATTATAATCATTATCATGAAGAAGATTCTAATTTACATGAGTTATCAAATAAGGAATTTAAAAATGTTGAATAAGTCGATTTGATATTAATGATGCAATATTGTAAGTACTGTAAGATTATCTGTAGATTTTGATAAGAGATCATGTTAGGGATGCACCAATACTATTATCTATCCGAAAAAAAAATAGTGACCGTGCCTATATATTCATGAAGAAATCTTTCATCATCACTCTTTCAAAGAGTTGATCGTGATTTTTTTAAGTACTATAGAGACCGATATGTCTTAACTATGTAAAATATAATCTGGAGACTCCCTTACAATATGACACAAAGTCGACTTTCCTAGCTTTTGTAGTTCTCAAATGGCACTCAATATCAGTACTTTCAAAAATACATGATAAACAAGATTTTATCTCGTAGCAAACCGTTACATGGATGATAAACGATTCTCAAATATAGATGCAAGTGAAATGAACCTTCCAGAAAGAGACTAAAACTAGAATAATTAACTGGAATTTTGGTAACAGAACAAAAAAATACAGTGTCGGAAATACAAAATTGGAGTGGATCTTTTTGTCTCGTTTATTTGTATATGATTTGATGGGGCTTAAAAGGCTGGTCACGAATATATACGTTCTATTTAGATTCAACCACTGTTTGGCTGAAGAAAACTTTAAAAAACTCGAATGACTAAAAACAAGTAGCATTTTCACGTTGAATTTACTTTTTCTCTAGATATTGTTAAATTTCAATTCCAGTTATTTTGTGTACTTCTTGAAAATATTATATTCTAATTGAGTATTTAAAATTTACTAGAAAAATGTTCTTTGAAAGGATTTAAAGTTGATAGAGTTAAAAAAAAATATTATCCAGTATCAATACCCGAACAGGCTTGAAAGCATGTATTTCTAGGCAATTTTGCAAACCCAATATTAAAGAAAACGAGTTTTACAGGATTTAGGAAAATGAATGCTATTTGAGAACTATAAAAGCTAGGGAGGTCGGCTTTGTGTCATTTTGTACAGGAGATCTCCGAAATACATTTCGCATAGTTTAGACGTATAGGTCTCTATAGCACTTAAAAAAATCGCGACCAACTCTTTGAAGGAGTGATGATGAAAAAATTGTGAAACTGCAAGAATTTTTCTGATTTCTTAATAAATATATAGAATACTCATGTACCTTCATAATGCAGACAAGAGTAAACAGTCAGAAACTATCAACATTTTTATTGCATTAGGTTTCAGCGACAAAAGTAATGGTAATTACTGGTAGTTTAGTATTCAAAATGGGATCGGTTCAGATTGTTCAAATTGGTATCCTACACTGATTCTACTAATATCCGTATAATTCTGATAGTAGTGCATCTATAGATCTCATCTTTTTTTAAGATGACAACAGTGTTTTATTCAGATTTCCTCGTTCGAAAGGGCGATTTACAACTCCAAGAGGATAGACGCCCAATTTTTGCCGACATAGACACATAGTGTGTGGTACAATGAGGCCAGTCTCCTGGAGAGTTAACTTGCTCTTCGGAGGAGTGCCGTCCTCATACTAAATAAAACATTTGATGATAAATTGTATTTTTCTTACATTTATGTTGAATCATTTTAGGAGAAAATAAATAGTAAGGTTACTATAATAAATCATTGAGCGATGAAATGAATTAAACAAAGGGACTTTTAGAAAATGTTCCTTGTTGGTGTTTTTCTTTGAGAGGAAAGTTTTTATTTTACCGGACTACTATGAACTACTGACAACCAGATCTAAGATTGCAAAATATAATCGTGAAAACGACGTACTCGTTACGGAAGTCGTTGTTGTGCTTGTTGTTACTGAGGTAGTAGTCGATGTTGTCGCCGATGTTGAACTTGTGGATGATGAAGTACTGCTAGATGAACTTGTTGTAGTTTTGGTTGTCGTTGTAGTTGCCGTGGTTGTCGTTGTTGTCGCTGTTGTAGTAGTTACTGTCGTTGTTGTTGTTGTCGTCGTTGTTGTAGTAGTTACTGTCGTTGTTGTTGTTGTAACTGAAGTTGCTGTAGTTGCTGTAGTAGCGGTCGTGCTAATAGTCGAATCAGTGTTAGTGGTGACTATATTGTGCATTAAATAAATAGCAGGAACATTTATAATTATTGATTATGTTGCATGATATAGAAGTCAGAAATGGTAGGGTCGGTATGGATGTGAGTGAGGAGTGGGTACGGATGAGATTGTAGGTGTGGGGATATCAATGTTTGTGCGTGTGCATTTGAGTAAATGTATGAAAATGAATCTGAATGTGAAGAAGAATCACCCATACTCTCATGATATACTCAAGAAAAAAATGTACAATTCGAGTACTTCAAACTACGAGTGAAGTACGAGTAAAATCACTTTAGTATTATAAGTGTTGGTACTTCATTCGTGCTTCCAAGTACCAAATTCATGTTTTTTTTCTCTTTGCCACACCTACATCCACGACCTCAGACAAAACTTTATTTATGTTGACTGTTCAGTGTAACTAAATTAACAGCGGCTATGGTATTCATTCCACTACGAAAAAATTCATTTTTTAATCTTTTTCAAAAACAAAAAACGTATCGACGCGAACAAACTGTAACCAAATGTTGTATAACTATTGATAATAACGTATTACATAACTTTAGTAACAGCCTAGTGTGTAATGATTAATGTTTTCTTGTTAAATCAAAAAAGAAAAATAGCTAACTTTTAATAGATATATGTGAATTTTTTAGGTTTTAAAAGATGAAAATTCTTAACTATAGAAATAAATACTTGTATTATGAATTTTAAAATTGTCGTGTCATAATTCAATGTAAATGTTACAAGAAAAATTAATGACGCTATACCTGAAGAAACTAAACTCATAGATATTTACCTGGATTCGTAATATACAATGTCAGAACTATAGCTAATGCTACACCACCAAGTAATACACCCAACAGAGCACCAAGTAGTTGAGCCGTCGAACAGCAACAGCAACAGCAACAGCAACAATATCTGAAAAGATGTGCATTTATCCGGAGAGTGCTGTAAACAAAAGAAATAAGAAATCTAACTTTAGAAAGCACAAGCGGCATCGTTTGAACCGATCATCATCATCATCATCTTCTTCGTCTTTTTTTCCCGACTGTATTGTATCAGGTTCTGCCCAGATGCTACGCTGTTCATTGCGCATCATTAAAATTTGGCTTACCGTTAACAAAAATAATTCAAAATAAAACTATAATTTTTAGTTCGCTGCAAGTAAACAACAAAGGATGAAATAATTTCTTCACTATTCATCAGCATTTTTAATGAGATGCTCGATCGAATATACGAACTCCTACAGAATATTTATATAAACATCGATTATTAAACAGATGCCCAACCTATTCATTTTCAATTCTGATGTACAAGTCACATGTAGACACGTATTTGTCAAAAAAAGTAATGCATGCCTGGATGGAGTGTAAGTCAGAGCCCGAAATGAGAAGCATTTTTCGGATATGAGTGCGGGTGTGGATATGTGTACAAATAGAATGATTATCCAAACCAACACCCACATCACTCACACTCCACCTATATATCCGTAGTTCGATTGGTAAAAAGTAATAAATTCTATAAGATATTTTTAATTAAGTTTCTTTAAATAGAAAAAAACTCATTCAAAATGTAAGACTTGTCAATCCAAGACAATCATTCAATAACTGGTCAACTTTTTTTTACTTTTCTGTGTTATAAATCTATAATAGAAATAATTTTTATACAATTCTAACTAATGCAAAATCAAGATAAATCATTGAGTGAAACATTCTAATATTCTTTAATACAGAGCTTCGCATTAGTTTTTGTTTTCAATAGACATCATTTGATCTTTTATATTTTTTCGCAATTCATCATTTTGTTCTCTTTCAGAAGCCTTCAATTTAATATCGTTTTATCGTTATTGAAGAATATGTATTTCTATCTACTTTTCTTCAATTGTTTGAATTTTTGCAATTGTTAATTTGACGTTCACGAATACCACTCTTCTGACGGGTAATTCATAAAATAAAAAATCCATCGAGACTTTATCGATAGGATAAGAATAAAAAAAAATATTGACTTCAAATGTGTATGGTCTCAAAAAATCATTAAATTGCAAATTTCTACTGGATGACATTAGACGTATTCTATGCTTCTGATTATCAACGATTTCTATTTGAAAAAGAAAATTCAACATTCATTTTTTTTTCTTTTCCAAGAGCTTGTATATCATTTGTGTTAAAATAAATTCAATTGATCGCGAAACAAAAACTAAACTAATTATAGAAATTTTTTTCATAAATGACAAAGACATGTGCAATTGTTGTTATTGTTTTTTTAATAGACTCGAAAAATCTAATATCGAAGAATCTGAAAAGACAAGTTTGATTTTCCCATCGGAACTAACATCTTCATTATTTACATCTCTACGAACTACATTTTTCAAACAAACTTCGCTCATCAATGATGGATGATAAAACTCTCCCGACTATAACTGATAGTTTGACAAGGAAACAAAAGACGATTTGTCGAGTGAGTATTATTGTTATTGTGTTGGTTATTTGTTCTGTTGCTATTATTCTTCCACCTCTATTCTTGCGTGTATTTCGTCAAAATTCATCAAGTTGTAAGTCATGTTTTCAATAAGAATTGATAAATAGATCTTTAGTTTGGCATTTGTCTTTTTATTTTTATTGAAGCTTCCAGCGTAACGAATTTGTTCGTATCTGCTTGCTCATCAGACACATGTATCGGTAAAGAGACACAATATCGCACATCGATTATTACTGCTTTATATCCTTTTGATGGAAATATGAATGATTTTAGTGGATATTTTATTGGAATCGCTTATGGTTTACCTATACCAGGATATGCTACTGCAACGAATTATATCCGTCAATCAATTGATTTGGATCCAACCAATCAACAATATATTCGTATCTCATATGTCAACTTGAACCAACAAATTTTTACTATTCAATTATGGTTTCTTATACGATCTTCTGCAAGTTTAGTTGATTTTGGTATATTTAGTCAATGTGGTTCAGATTTAATTTGTTTGTCCATAAGTATACATAATTTTCGTGTAACATTATCGTTCGATTCGTTACGAAGTAATGTAAGTACATTGCTTGGTGGATCAATACTTTCAAGAAGTTACTGGTATCATTTAACTATTGTTTATAATGCTGTACTTCGTCAACAATTGATTTATATTAATGGAAAAATTGATGCTATTGCGAATGATGTCACGCCATATCAAGGAACATCGTTTGGTGCTACTACCTATATTGGATTGAGCTCTTCAATCAATTATCCATTATCATATTCTCATGGGTAAGGAAAAAACTATCTCTTGCTGAAATTTCAACTAAAATATTTTTGTCTTCGATATTCAGCTAGAAGATCAATTTCAAATTAACAACCGATTGACAGAATTAAATTATCTCTTCTTTTGTTTTTAAGGACGCTTTTACTGCAATAATGTTTTATACTAAAAATCATTACAAAGTTCTAAAAATGAAGTATTTGAAGATGAGTGTAGAAAATAAGATTATTAAATGCGTTTTCTTTTTGTATTGAATGTCATCTAGATGAAGTTGTTTTCAGAAAGTACACCACAATGTTTTGATAAAAGCCAGTCTCTATGTCACTGTTTAGTTTATCATCATTCTTTTTTCTGTATTATCCATTGACAATAAATAGATCAGTTTTTTTTTTATCAAACTTTAAGAAAGAAATTGTCTCTCAGTACTCGTAGTTAAATATATTTAATCGGCGTTCAAAAAGAGAAAGATAAGTCCGTTTTCGTTCTATAACTTCGTCTGAATATATTCAAGCTTGATTCACGCATGACAATTTCCATTAGAGACAGTGTTTCAAGTATGTATGCACCAGTATTTTTTTTGGTTAAAAAAGAGTTTTCTTTGGCAAAAACAACGGTTTTTTTAAAAAATTTGCTCAAAGATTTTTGGGACCGAGTAATTCGAATCTGTCCATGGTTTGTCCAAATTTTTGAGTTGATTTTTTTGGTTTGAGAAAGAACTTTTGTTGGAAAAACGACGATTTTTTTTTATATTAAACTTACCGAAATCATAGGAATATGATATCTCTTGAGTACGAAAACTCACCTTAAAAATTTCCAAAAAAGCCACCTATATATTCAAATTCTTCAATCTCGAAAATCTTTGATCAAACTTTTTACTGTGCAAAGCACTATATAATAGTCGATCGCGAGTTTTTTCTTTCTCGATATCAAAATCGTCAATTTTATGGCGCAACCATCTATAAAAATATCAACTATGTTTATTGTTTATCTTTAATTAAAAGTCAAATTGATTTTCGATTTGATTCGGATGTAATCACTTTAAATGTTACTTAATTATCATCAAAAATCATACAAAATTTTCTAAAAACTTATTATAAGAAAAATCATTTAGCATTTCGATTCTCTTGAGTACTTTGTTTAGTACGAGTTCATCTCCATCAAATAATTAAGAAATTCTATCTCAAGAGAAACTAGCGGATTTGTGTATAGCAACATGATTTTCTTCATGAATTGGCATTTTGACTCATTCGAAATTTTTATTATTCCATAAACGATAAGATTAGTTTGTGAATGCGTGCTTCGCATCGAATTTGCATCACGGACTGAGCCTATATGCCATCTAGTTTTTAATGTTTTGAGACTTTTTCTGTTATTTATCTAGATTTATTGATCATTTTACAATATCAGCTGGTGTTGCTCGAACTGCATGTCAAATCTACAATGATGCTACACTTATTACATATTATCCGTTTGATACAACAGATGCATTACTTGATCGTAGTGTTAATTTGATCCACGGTATTGCATTTGATTTAACGACAGTTTCATCAGGTCGACTTCAACAAGCGATCTCTTTTAAAATCAATACAAGTTATTTTCAAGCACAATGTTTCCCAACAATATGTCCTAGTAGTGTACCTGTATCTGTTTCTCCCTGAGTGAATCCGATGACAATTATTGGTGGTGGTTCATTGATCCATATATCAACTCTTCAAAATGACACTGGATCTATTTGCTACGATCTTCTAGGCTTTACAACTGCTGGTATGTTACTCGGTCAATTAATGACAAGTCCGACAACTCTTATCAATACTCAAGGTGTAATATTGCCGTTAAATACTTGGACTCATATAGCCATTGTTTATTTAAATACAAATGGCTTTCGTCTATTTATCAATGGACAATTAATTGACGCTGTATCAGGATCGATGACTACTAATCAATTCAGTCTGTATATCACACTTGGTAATAACAGTCCAGGACTTTCTATATCCAGTTCTAGTTGTGTGTCATCAACTGTTGTTGCTGGTCCATATCGTGGTGCTATCGATGAATTTCGAATATATAATCGAGAATTAGATGTTCAAGAACTTTGTGTACTTGCCAATATTTAATATCTATTAGTAGTTACTCATAGAGGGTGTAGGTGTGGGCGTGGGAGTGCATGAATGCGGATGAGGATGTGGGTGTCTTACGAAACCATCTACACCACACCGGTACCCACACTCACACTCACAACCACATCACACACACCTACATCCACACACAGACACCCACACCCGTATTGTTGAACTTCACTTTGATATTACATAAACGATACTTCATGTCGAAATATTACTTCGTTTGGTTGTACCGTTCTACAGCTGTATTTTTCAATAGCGACGAATGGCCAGATCAACCATCAATATTTTTTCACTGGAGGCAGCCCTCAACATAAGTAACAAAATGCACTATTTGAAGTTTATCTGTCATCCAAGAAAGGACACCTCACATAAGCACATATCTTCACTGAAATATTAATTTTGAATGTATGTCAGACGTATCACAAATGTTTCAAATTAGCATGTATTCGCATTGCGTTTGCACATGCAACGAAAGTACTATGAAATCGTTATGAGTTCACGATGTTCCTTTGATTTCAAAGAGATACGTTCATAATTGTGTTTTACAAAAGGTGTTCTTATATTCAAAATGAAAGAGACAAAATGTTTCGATTTCTTTTTTTTTTATCAAAGTCAATATGTTTTCCTTTAGGTAGATATCGGCGCATGGCGTGTTTGTTGCTTTATTTGAAGGTAATTATATAGACATCAACCGAATTCTTTTAGGTGTAGTATCAAATTTTCTTTGATATGGCTAAATATAGAAACAACATGGCACAATTCACCGATACATTCTTTATAACCGATGGTGGTCTAGAAACGATTCTAATTTTTGATGAAGGTATAGAACTTCCAGAATTTGCTGCATTCGTTCTATTCAAGGACGAAGACAAACGTGAATGGATGAGAAATTATTTATGCACGTATGTGAGGATGGCTCGAAAATATCATATTGGATTCATATTACAAAGTGTAACATGGCGTGCCAATCCTGAGTGGATGCGAAAACTTGGATATTCTGATGAAGATATCGTTAATATGAATCGTCAGGCTATCGAATTGCTGTACGATATTCGCAATGAATATGAAACGGAAAAGTCTCCGATCATAATTAGTGGATGTATTGGTCCGCGCGGGGATGGTACCATCCAGCGGTGGTCATGTCGGCCGAACAAACTCAAGCATATCATGCAATACAAATCGGTATTATTAGTCAAACAAACACAGATGTCATAAAGGCTATGACTATAAATTATCCTGAAGAAGCAATTGGAATTACTCGAGCTACTAAAGCATTTGGTATGCCCGTAGTGATCTCGTTTACGGTTGAAGCTGACGGTCGATTACCGAACGGACAGACGTTGAAGGAAGCAATCGAACTTGTTGATAATACTACTCAAAATGGACCCGCTTATTATATGATAAATTGCGCACATCCAATTTGTTTTTCACATGTTCTAAATTCTGAAGAATCGTGGGTAGCAAGGATTCATGGTGTGAGAAGCAATGCATCGACGAAGAGTCATGCTGAGCTTAATGAATGTAAAGAACTTGATTCAGGTAATCCAGTCGAATTCGATGAACAAAATCGAGCACTTTTATTCAAGTTGAAAAATTTGAATGTCTTCGGTGGATGTTGTGGAACAGATCATCGTCATATTGAAGAAGTTTGCAAACAATGTATCGATGCATTCAATCGACTAAAACATGCTCATCGTACTGAAATTATCTAAGTACAAACGATTATGAAGAGAAAAATTTTAAACAAAAATAAATTACGAATCGTAATCGAAATGTAGCTAAGCAATCGCCACAAATGAAGAATTTATTTCACGCCTCACGAAATGCTATGGTAAAGTCAATCAGTTCACATCAGCACAATTCCACCGGAAAAAACTCTGAAAGAAACTCCTTCAGATCTTGACCGAATATAAGAAAGTTGTGCACGGAGCGAGAAATAGTGATTTAGAAGCAAAACGAACTCTTTCACCCTCACTCAGCACTCTCATCATCGTCGTGCACCTGTCTTGAATATGAAAAAAGTTTCATGTGAATCTTACTGAAAGGTCTAGTTCATAACAATCAAAGACCGTAACTTCGAAATCAAAGTCAGGAACATTTGATTATTTCTCCGCTAGTTGGATGTGGGTGTGGATGAAAATATCAATCCTTCTATCACCCATCCTGACCCACGCACACGCACAACCAAATGTCTTGGACAGCAGATAATCTGTTGTCTGTATCCACTAATATTTTCAGGTGTATCTTCGAATGATACACCACGCTTCATCAGTCCAACGATCATCAATTTCAGTTCGAATTGTACCAAATCTTAGCTCAAACATGCACGATGTCCGCCATCAAAAGTAACCATTGCATAGGGATGATGATTTTTATCTTCGAACAAAAATCGTTCAGGAATAAATTCAGTTGGATCACGATGAATCGATACACCATCGACTACTGCATCACGTATGGCTCTACGTGTTGTAATACCGATCACAGGTGCTAATCGAAGGACCTGAAGAAAAAAATTTCAGAATAGCAATCGATAACAAGATAGATGAGCAAATCTCTTACGTGACACAATCGTAGTAAACAAGTGATTCGAGTGTTTCTATACTCAGCGATGATGAATGTGCATTGTCTCCCATGACAAGGTCATGTTCTTTGAGTTCTTGTTTAATTCTTTGTTGAACTCGAGGATGTTTGCTCATATAGAACATGAACCATGAGAGCGCTTTTGACGTTGTTTCGGTACCGGCTGTGATAGCCATGAGAACTTCATCAAATATTTCTGTCTGAATCAGACTAGATGATATTTGTTCATCATTCGCTTGTTCATTGAGTGATGAAACAAGAGGTGTAATTAAATTTTTCGGTCGTTGACTTTCACAATCATTATGTTTATTTTGTTCTTGTTCAACAATTTGTTCGGATAATTCACGAAGAATTCTATGTGCACGTTGATATTTCCAATTCAATTTTAAATATAATTTACCTAGCCATTGTGGTAGTCATGCTGTCATCATAAACTGACTTGCATAGTATACGAAATCCTGAAGAGCACATGCGCACGATGAATCGATTTGAGCTTCGAGATCATGATCCAATGCAATGAATGCAATAATATTCATAAATAATGATTGACATCGAAGTGTCAAATCTTTATACAAGTGTTTGCAAAAAAACTGGGAAACCTTCTTCCACAGATATCTTCTTCTATACCAGTGCTCTTCAAATTGTTTTATAGTGTAGTAGATAGCCCATGAAAAGTGCTATACAACAATATAATTTCATATTCTTTTGATTGACTTCTAAAAAAGATATTATACAAGTATCTCGTTTCCTTGGCCACACCAGAGTTATTCGTTATATATATTTCAACTTTTTTGACTTTTTCATCTGAAAAATGTTGCGATTCATCAGTCTTTTTTTTCTGAATTTCTTCTCTAAATATTATATTGAAGTATTTACAATAGAACTCGCCCATTTTGTTATACAATATTTCTTCAAACAAAAGTCCTCTCAAAGTTTTGCGTAGGAATTCACAGCCTACAACGAGTAATATCGAATATTATAGTTCAATATTTTATTCGTTCACCTGTGCTATCGATAAGAGACAAACATCGTTTTTTCATCGATATCACAAAATTTTTCACAACATTAATATTAATAGTTTCGAATTCTTCAGCTACACATAGTTCGAGCTCATCAGTATTTGTTGGTTTTCTTTTCTTTACGTTGCGTTTCACGATCGACCAGATATTTTCGATGGTCATTGTAATAACTGTAACACATTCTCGTCGATAAATTTTTGACAAATGTTAGTCGTGTGTTTGGGATCATTGTCCTGCTGCAGACGCCAATTTCGACCAAATTGATCTAAAAACGAAAGAATATACAAGTAACACTGCATTATTTTCTTTCCTTACTCACGTGTAGCAGCTGGAAGAAGATAATCTTCAAGGATAGAAACATAATAGGAACCATCGAGATTGCATCGAAATGTGTGGCATGTCAATACATCTTTCACACTTATTGCACCTCAAACATGAACCTTTTGACGATTTTTAGGTGAGCATTTAAATTCGTGATTGGGATTTTTCGTCCACTGGCGAATTGTATTACGAAAAAGGTGGAATGAGGATTCATCTGTAAATATTGTATTATTGAAATCATCATTTATATGCTTCTTGGCCCATTGTACATGTCGTTATTTTTCATCCGATGTTAACATGTGAGTTGATTGAGGTAAAACATATTTATAACCATATTCGTGAAGGTGACGACTAATTGTTGATATAGACACTGATTTCTGGTGCATTTTCGATAAATTTTCTTTTATTTCGTTAAGAGTTGTTTCATTGTTATTCCGAATGTATTGGTCAATAGCTTTTTTTTCTTTTCCACCAAGAGGACGTGGTCGACCATTTTCACCTCGATGTTTAAGTGAACCTGATTCTTTTAATTTGTCAATATTGTGATAAATAGTGCTCAGTGGAATGTTTGTTTCACGATGAATAAGAGAAACAGATCGTATGCCTCAGTTCCAAAAAGAGGAAATTGAAATATGATGAGTTTTCAAGTTACTGGTCGATGGCATAATTGAATGAATATATATCGAAGATGAAAGAAACTACAATTCTATATATACAACGTGTAGTATATCTGTCGAGGGTTTATCCCGCAAAAAATCACTTTTGTAATTACTTATAATAGTAGAGAAACGATTTTTTTAAAAAAATTTTTTCCAAGGTTTTTTGCAAACACCTGTATGTCGATCGGAGAATATGGTTCGAGCATGTTCAGGTAGGCAGAAGACAGGGCATTTTTGTGGACTGACCCAAAGTAAAAAATCGTCACCATACTCTTGTTGATATGCGATGAAAAGTTCATGTCCGGTTTTTCGGTCCGTTAATAAATCAGAATTAAAAAGCTTTCTGAAAATGATCTGAAGTTTCTGACCAGATGGATCATTGGAAGACGATGAATACTGTCGTTTCAAATAAATATAGATAAGAACAATCGTAAATGAGGCCAGAGCCAGAGGGAATAGTAGAACTAACATCGATAAAGGTTGAAACAAGAAAAGTATATTGTGTGAATATACTTACAACCGAAGCAACGTGAAGAATTACACTTTGTGGTGTCTTCGCTCGATAAAACGTTCTTATCTCTGCAGTGATGTAGAGAGCTGAAGAGATACAGTTACAACAAGATACGACTTGATTCTGTCATCATAAATAGGCATTGCCCACAACTACCTAACGAGTAAATGACAAAATTGTCTACCATAGATCTTGAAGCTACAGTGTGTTACGCTAGACGATCGCATGTGAAGCTATTCCGGCTACCATTGATCGTTATCTTCGGGCTCTGATACTGGTTAGGCACGCCTTCATCACTTCTACACTATTCTTGTAGGACTCTCTATCACGATGCATTTAACTGCTCAGTCTTTTATTATACGACGCTGTAGCAATCATATTTTTGCTACATCATTAACTCAGCAGAGATTCAACCAAGAAATTAAATTTTTTGGAGTAGGTAGATGCAGCAATGTGTCCATTATGTAACTAGAGAAAATATATTCTTTTCTAGAAGTGAGCTCTTGCATAGAAATGGCGACTGTGGGTGTGGGGTGTGGGTACCATTCCTCTCTTTATCCACAACCCACACCCATACCTCTGCTCATGAGAAGACTCGCGTGTCGCGTGACGTTTTCTTTTGATGTGGGACGTCATTGCTGACTTTGAGCACCCTTGAAAACTGCTTATCTATGTTTGAAATACGTGAAAAACATGGTTAAAGAATATTTCTGAAGGTTACTTTCGATTTCGGAGTTTCCGAATTTTTTGGGATTTTTGGAATTCTTTTGGATTCTTTTGGATTTTTTCGGATTTAAAATCCAAAAAAATCAGCTTTTTCCCCCTTAACCACAGGTTAGTTTTGGATGGAAAAAAAATTCCACTGAAAACTATATGATTAGATGCGGTTTTTCACACTGATTCCGAATATCGTATCTATTTTGTTTTACTATTATGCCAGGACAATGGAAATTGCCAAATATGTGCATTTTCTATTGAAAAATCGTCAAAAGTCATCAAAAATGAGAAGATCTAAGTCCTGTTTCGCACAAGACTCAAAAGTTTTTTGAATATTTTTTTACCATTTGCAGAGAAAAAAGAGCGGCACAACATATGTAAAATTCAGCTTAGGATCTCTTGATCCTGTAACACAGTAGCGAATATATTGTTTTATTTGGACTGTTCAAAAGAATCCCTTTTGAATATTGTTGGCTGTATAAAACTTGAGTTACTAGACCTTATATTATATCCATATAGCTCATTTTGTTCAGTTTTTAGTTCTCTATCTTCGCATGCAAACCCTGAAAAATTTGAATAATCTGTTGAAACACAAGTTGGTATATCTTTTATAGAATACTTTTCTTTTTTTTTTTCAAAAATGGTTGATAGTACTAAAAGTCGGTACTAGCTAACTTTTTAAAGCAAGGATATTAGAACCTAAAATTTTAGGATCGGTGATTTTAGAGATTGGTGCATTGAATGAGCAAAAACAATTTTATCGAGTGCCTCGCATATTAAAATGATACTTGTTGTACTCATGGAAGCTCTTTTAAGAGATTGAATACGTTCTAATTGAAATTGTACGTCTTTTCGAATCGAAAACACATATTTTCCCACATCGAATTCACGGTATGTTGACTAAATCTCGAAAACAAAAATCTCAAAGAAAAATCTCGAATAGAATAATATCGAAAAATAAAATTTCGAAAAAATAAAAACTCGAAAATGTGACATCCCGAAAAGCCAGGTATTCGAAAACAAAAATCTCGAAAAAATGAATAATCGAAAGAAAAATTTTCGAAAAAGTAAAATATCGAACAAAAAAATATCGAGTCGCTAGTAATATACAATATGATTAAAATTATCAGATAGCATCCAAATACAATAGAAATTTTATTCTTAAAGTTTATAACAATAAATGGATAAAATAAATAAATTGCATTAAGAATAACAAGAGAAGAATTATGAAAAGATATTACTTCGCTCCAATTAATACAGAAAGTCCTTGAAGATAATCACCAAGATTGATTTTATTTTGATTAAAATCCGATGCAAGTGAATCAACACGTTGTTGAAAAATAATATCTTTTCTGTTTATATTCTTCTTTGCACCTGTCATCATCTTTAATATCTTTTGACGAACAACAACTTCTTCTTTTCTAATACAATCAAAAAAATGCCACACATTGGGGTGATATTTAGCCACTAAACGGTTGAATCGATGATTCCAACCTAATCAACAGAATAAGTGCGAAAAAAGAAAAACAAAAAGAAACTTACCTTCGACAATGTTGTTCGTTCGAACATCAACATCGGATACATTCCACAATGCCCACTTCACCTTCGTCATCCAGTATCTGTTGAAATAATCAATTAATTGTCGTATTGAATCAGGAGCATTGTTTGAAATTTCTCGAAAACCACGCTCAATTTGATTAAGTGGGATAAGGGGAAGAGCCATAAGCTTGCGTGCACTTGATCGTGCATCTTCATCATCATGGTAGACAGTGACCAAACCAAGTTGTTGAATCTGTCGATAAACTGACTTTGTATAGTGGAAATAACACCCAATGTGATGCACATTGGGAAACTAAAAATTTTGAGAAGTATTAATCCAAAGAAACAAAAAGTGAACTTACTTCATCGGCCACTGTCTTAATAAGAGCTGGTTCAAAATCCGTTGTAATATTTGTTGGACGAAATTGAAGATCAAGTCGACGAGCATGTTGATGAAGAACTGAAATTAATTCTTTATAAATCACTGTGGACCGACCACAAAGGACAGCAAAAACACAAACAAAACCTATACAATCAGAACAAATATAAATGATTATAAAATACTTTAAAAGTAGCTCACTTTGCTTATTTTTTATTCCATGTATTGAAAAAACTTGTTCAAAATAAGGTGGACAACTGTCAAATGTTCCATCCATCATGATATGGGGTGATGTAAAGAGAAGACGAAGTTGTTCATCGGTTGAAAAGATAATTAATCTTTTTTCTACTTTTTCACCACCAGGCTGAATTCTATCAGCAAGTAAAGATCTTTCTCCATCAGTTGTTTTTTGATAACGTGATGGAATATTGAAATCCACAGAAGTTGGAAGAACAGGTGTGGTTCGTCGTCGAAGAACATTAAGACCATGATCTAAACAGAAAAAATGATCAACATTTTTTCAAAGAAATAATTTACACTTACTAGCTTCACGAGCTGTTGGAGCAATAGCAAGAGCTGTTCGAGAAAGATTAGCTTTCACTAGCTCTTCAGTATAAATTTGTCCAATAGCTGTTGTTTCTCGATCAACTCGAGTTTTGACTTTTGTCATCATCTTGCGAATTACCAATCGTTCAGGTTTAGGCAAATGAGTATGAGCATTTTGCGTGTACTTGAGAAACAAATCATTCGAAGTGAGATGTACACCTGCATTGCAAAGTTTTTCTTCACAAACCCAGTAATTTACTTTCGCAGTTGATTTGTTTTGTTGATATACAAATCCATTAATAACCAACAAACGTTTACCTTTATTGCTAATCAAAAATGAAATTTCAGGTGTTCCATCCACATTAGGTGATGACATGTTTTGTAATAAAATAAAAAGCGAAATAAATAACAACAGAGGCAATAACGAGAGTGTTAATAGAATAATGGGCGAAGAGTGAATGGAAAAGGATAGCACATACAATTTAGACGATGTATACAATAGACCAAAGAAAAAGAAAAGCTACTTGTGAACACACAGAACGCAAAAGTGTATGAAAGAAAAATAATGGAAAACACGCCAGTCATAATAATATCTATTTGAATCTGATCGAACGATCGATCATAGAATGAGAGGACATCTTTCGAATTTTTTTTTGAAAATTCAATGCATTAAAGTTCGAGTTTTTGCGTTTCGTATTTTTTTTCGTTTGAATTAGCCTTTTTTCTACATTTCGTGTTTCGAGATTTTATTTTGTCGACATTTTGTCTCTCGAGATTTATTGTTTCGAGATTTTTTTTCGAGATTTTGTTCTTTCGGAATTTCATCTTTCGAGATTTTTTTTTCGAGATTTTTTCTTTCGAGATTTTTTCTTTCGAAATTTTTTTCTTCGAGATTAAGTCAGCAATTCGAATTCATCCAGCCGGATCGGATAGAATCCTTGAATTATCCGATATTATCCGACAGTCAGCATTCTATACGATCGCACTATCGGAAATCATCAATACCCGCCAATTTCCGATGAATTCTACCGTCGAATTCTATCGGTTTCCAACAATAGAATCCGATGATATCTGATGATGGGAACTTGCCGGATTCGACGAAATTCGACGGTATGAAAGTATCTATAGATACTTGAATTTGGTCAATATTTCATTTTATTTTAGTTTATTTAATTTTGATTAATTTTACTTTAACTGAATTTTAATTTAATTTATTTTACGTTTATTTTGTTATTGTATTTTAATACATTTTATTTTATTCCATTTTATATTTATTTATTTTTATTCGATTCTGCTTCACTGTAATAACAGCGCCCTCATCCATACAGAGTACAGTGATGTAAATTACACCAATCAGTGTACAGATGGGTTAGGGGGAAATTTATTATTATATTCTATTTTATTTTATTTTCTTCTAGATTGGATTATGGTAAGAGCCTCATCGGCAGTGACTACAACTGATTTATTTATTTTCATTTAATTTAATTCATTTTTACTTTTATTTTAGAGTTTAATTTTAATCTATTTTATTTTTGTGTGGTTTGTTTCTTTTCTATGGTAATTTATTCTTTTTATTTCTATTTATTTATTTAATTTTTACTTTTATTTTATAATTTAATTCTTATTTATTTGATGTTTTTATAGTTTGTTTTTATTCTATAATAATTCACTTTTTCAATGCTACTTTGCTTTATTGTAATTTTTTATTTTTTTTTAAACTAAATTTAGCGCGTTAATTTGGGCCTAATGGCAAGTGAGAAAAGAAGCGTTAGAGGGAAAGGGGACTGAGGTCATATAGGATCTAATATTCAGCTGTAAATTCAAAAGGTGTGTATGGAATTCAGCTTGCAGCCGATGTTTTCCGAGTATTGGGTCAACTATCGGAAATCAACAGAACCGACATCAGATAAGAATCTGTCGGACGTTGTTGAATTACTCGGAAAATCTTATGGGATTTAAGTAGAGTCGAGTTTCAGAATTCTCGTGGTGGGTTGTATAGTTATGCTTATCTGTTGAAAAACCAAACAACTGATCAAATTCATTTGAGCGAATCGAATTTATTTTTCTTTTAGGTGGTATCTCACTAAGTTGTTTTTGTCATTTACGTTCGTAGAAAAAGATATTCTCCGCATTTTTCTAGAAACACAATTGAATTTGTTTTTAATTTTTAAATAAAATACTCATCAATATGGAGTACTCGTAATCTAATAATGGTCACAATAGAATATATAAAAACTAGAGAAATCGTTACATTCATCTTATGTTTTAGTTCAATGAGTGAAGGTTGTATATTGTATTTTTTTCTAAAATTGTACGAAGTTTTTTTTTTCTATATTTACATACAATTCTTCAAAATAGTTTCAGTTTTGTTTTAGACATTAAAATCTCAATAATTTTATTTTATCGCTTTTCTATATCATCGATTAATTCTTTTATATTTTCTTGATTTATTTTAATTCAAATAGATTATGTGAAGTTTTTTATTTATTTTAAATCACTGTAAAACAAAATTAATTTCATTTAATGTAAATATTTTATTTCAGTTAAACTAAAAGTAATCTAATACGATTTTCTATTTAGAACTAAAAAAAAATAAATTTAATTTCATAACATTATATAGCTTATACTATACTAAAATAAAATTACTCAATTCGAATATCTTATTTTATTTTTTATTTTAATTAAGATAAGGTTAATCCATAGACTTATTATATTTATTTTATTTCGAAAGAAAATAGATTTAGTCGGATATCATTATTTAATCCATATTATATTGAGCTAATGTTAATCCAATATATTTACTCTCTGTTATTTTTAATTAAAATAAAATTAATATATTAGACTTATTTAAAATTAAACTAAAATACATGATTTAATTTGATTATTTTATTTTATCATTCTAATTAAAATAAAACTTATCTAATATAACTTTATTTAATCATTTTTCAAAATTGCAGTTTTGTAACTAATTAAGCTCATGCTTTCATATTTGACTTTATCTTGTATTACTGTAATAAGTTGTCTAGAGAGGATATTGAAATTATAAGCAAAACGAACTGTGATTTGTTTTTGATAAAATTTTGTCACATTTATTGTATTTGTCGATATGAAAATAATAAAATTGTTTTGTGTGTTTTTTAATATTAAATTCAGTCTTAAACGCAACCAAGACTATAAAAATTTATGTGGCAATGCTTTTCTCTCAAAACAAAAAGAATCCAATCAAAGCAACCGATTTCTTTGAAAAAGTGAGTTAGAGAGCGGTGAACAGTACACGAAAATCAGTTAGGCAATGCATACAATAGCTGTATGAAATCTTACATGAATAATACAAGATCATACAAGAATCATACAATACATTTTAATCAGAAATGGTGGCTTCAAGATTATCATACAAGATCGTATCCGACTGTCATACGATAGTATATAATAATACCAGATCACACATTAAGATCGTATATAATCTTGTAAGGATCCCATAAGATCTGATTGTCAGATTATTTGACCTATGTTCCTAGAAATTCGTATATAACCGAGTAATTGGAGCATTTTTTGGAAAATTTGAAAATCAAATTTCATTTTCATTTTATGATCAGTTTCTTTAATTTATTCTTATTCTTTAATGAACATATAATGCACAAAAAAAATGAAAAAAAAGCAATCGAATAAAAAAAGAGTCAGTTCAAAAACTAATTATTAACAATAGCAAAAAAATTAATTTTAATAAGATTTCAAAAAATTTGTTTATAGAAATATCATTCCGTACTTCTAATCCTGCTCGAATCTTTGCTAAATATTCCATATTGAGTATATCTTCTGATCCAATTGAACAGTCATAGCTTGACCTTGTGAATTTTTCGTAGTAAGTATGTTGTATTCAAGAAGAAAAAAATAACTTTTAATATTTTAAACTATTCATATTATATCATCGAATAGCCCTCGATTGTTTCCTAAAATTAACGATGATAATGTTAAATGATGAAAATTACACAATCATTTAAATGTTCAATAGATTACTAACATGATTTAATAAGTTTTTTAGTATTTGTAATACTTCATAATCAAGCGTCCTGGTATAAAATACAGCTTTTCTTTGAAAACAAAGAAAATAAGATACTAATATTAATTAAATGCATTACCTTCAATTATCATTTTTTTTGTTGGGTGATCCAAACATCTCACTAATTTTGTACTATTTGATTTTGATGCTTGAACAATATCTTCATCAAATGGATCAGAAAGAAGATTGATTTCACCTATAAGTTGTTCATAGAAACAAACAAAAATAAATAAATGTGCAGAGGATATTGAAAATATATTGAGTTTTTCGAACAAGTCATTCAAACTCAACAATACTTCAATAATTTATTATTCGATCAAAAATAATACGCTCTTTAATGTGCTAATGGACATATCATCTTATGTAATATCTGTCCTTTCTGTAAATGTTGTTATACAATCGATATTACGTAGTTTGTATAATCGCGTTACTCTTACGCATATCTATGTATGATTGAGCCTCATTCTCTTTCTGTTGTAACGTGATTCTCATGTTGTAGTTTTTTTGCTCATTCTCCTCTCTCGTATATAAACTTGTGTTTTATGTGAAAAAAAGAGAGGTGAATGATGAAGTAGTGTAGTGAACATTGTATACCGAGGATAGCAGTAACACTGCTTCTCCAGTTTGTCATTATAATCACATCTTGTATCAAACATACCGTATCTTCGACAAATATTTTACCAAGTGCTGAATATATATTTTTCACAAAAACATCATTCAACCGAATCTGAATGCTGTTGAATAAAAATCAATACGAGAATTATGGACTACATCGTTATGAATCGTTTCAACTAATTGTTGTTGCTGTGTGCATTGTGTTATAAAGCCTAGTGGTGATGGAGCTTCAGCATCTTCTTCAAAAGCTTTATTAAACCTAGGCAATACGTAATTTAATGTAATTTTTTTTTATTATTTGAGATGTTGTTGAGATTGTTAAAGAATTATCTGACAGTTGTTGGATCATTTAATGAAGTATTACATCAGTAAATTGTAAAGCATTTGAACTTAATCAAGATTAATTAAGTGATTGATTTGCTGTTTACCAAGTCGATAGAAAATCTTTCAGCTGGTCCTGATGATCAACAACGTAATGTCCAGCATCGAGATTGAAATCATCCAAAATAATAAATTATTTTACTCATTGGAGTGCTCTTGGTGTATAAGTATATCTAATCATTTTTCATTTAATGTCGCAATGATGCTAAAACCAAAAAAAAACAGAAAGAGAAATCACAATCGATTATTTAATACAAATGAATGAACACTTACTTAGTGGTATAACAAACACTTTCTTTCAATATCTTTGATTTTTTTCGAACGCTACACTCTAAAAAAAATCGGTTTTTTACCGAACCCCCAAAAAAGGTTCCGGAGATGTCTAAAAGCATCCAAAGATGTCCAAAGTCTCAAAAAAAGGATAAAAAAAACTACGAAACCTTTAAAGGTTCTTACCGTGTACCGAGGATAAGAACCTTTTGCTGCGAAACCTTTTTTTAAGTTCCGTACAGCAGAAAAAGGTTTCGTAGGAAAATACGAAACCATTAGAGTTTCGTATTAAACTCTACGAAATCATGAGGGTTTAGTGCAAAATCATGAGAGTTTAGTACGAAACTATTAGGGTTTAATATGAAACTCTAAAGGTTTCGTATTTTCCTACGAAACCTTTTTCTGCTGTACGGAACTTAAAAAAGGTTTCGCAGCAAAAGGTTCTTATCCTCGGTACACGGTAAGAACCTTTAAAGGTTTCGTAGATTTTTTTTATCCTTTTTTTGAGACTTTGGACATCTTTGGATGCTTTTAGACATCTCCGGAACCTTTTTTGGGGGTTCGGTAAGAAACCGATTTTTTTAGAGTGTATTTTAACACAAAGTAGCCGATTTGGTAATAATGTTATCAACTTTAATAAACGATAATAGTTTTTCAATTGATCATGAACTTAAATTTAACAGCAATACAAACTCAATTTCTTCTTCTAAAATAAATTTGAAATTAGACTCAACCATCATTTGAATGAGTAATTCATCAATACATTTTAATTTGTTCGCATATTCATCAAAAACATTCTCGACCAACCATACGAAAACATTTGCATTAGTCCATTCTATAGACAATATGTATACCTAAAATATATTAGAAAATAACAGCTAATCTTTCATACTCTGGTTTATTTTGAACATTTTTAATTTTTTTAATATTATTCATATATGAAAATTAAATTATTATTCGTATAAGAATAATTCCCGTGAATTATTTCTCATAAATTATGCAGTAATACGAATGAACATCTTTAAATTTAGAAAAAAAAATATTTTTGAACTTGATCACAATATGATTTTATTTCTTTGAGAAAATTACGTATTGGATGTCTCATTTCGTGATCAATGATATCAACTAATTTTCTAAAATGGTATTAAGAAACATGTCGTGATTAGTACCATGATTTTTGTCGAAATCGTAATTGATTTTTCGAATATTCTTTACAACCAGTCTTGACTTTCCACTTTTTTCGAAAATAAGATTGTTAGAAAATCAAAATGAATTTTTGTTATTTAGGAAATCAAACATTTCTATAAATATTTTAAATTCAATCAATGAATAATAAAACTTTGAAAATACTGCAACATTTTAAAATTGATTTTCTAAAATGTGGAATTCACTTAAAAGTCACAATATATTTATACTTTATTAAATTACAAATGAAGTACGAATAATTTATATTTCAGATAAATAAAAATTACGAAAAAAGTTTATATCTAAAAATTAAGATAAATTACCATAATTTATAATTATTTTAAATCTGAATAATGATAATATGTATTTATTTTTAAAAGATAAATCTTTTTTTTTCATAAGTGATGTTTAAAAATAAATATAAATTATGATAATTTATACTTACTTTAAATTAATAGGAAAATGATATCTCTACCCATTAGGTAGAAACGAAATATATTATTAAGGAACCTATAATAATTTCTCTTTCTGTCAAGGCAATGAGAACGACATTAATGCATAAAAACTATTTGCGTGATATTGATTTTCGCTCTTACTCTGATTTTATCATAGAAGAGAAAAAGTTACCTTGGATTAGGCCTATGATTAAATTATTCAAGATGTAAAAGAGACGGACACCACTGCATTGAATAATAAACAGGTGCTAATCAATATCTTTCGCCGCGCATCTTATCATACGCATCAGATAGGAACGAAATATATCATTAGGGAGCTTGTTATCTTCTATCTTTCTGTCAAGGCAGTGATAACGACTTTAATTCGTAAACACTATTTATGTCACATTATCTATCCTTCTTGCATTGATTTCATTATAGGAGAGAAAGACAAACATGATATTACATGTATGGTTAATTTATTTAAGGTGAAAAACCGAGGGACATCGCTGTATTGAATACAAGCTACTTGTTAATCTTTTTGTCGTTGCATATTGACAGTACTCATTAGATAGAAACGAAATACATCATTATGGAGTTTATAATAATTTCTCTTTCTGTCAAGACAAGGAGAACGACTTTAACGAGTAAACACTATGTGTGTGATATTACCTCTCCTTCTTGCTGTGGTTTTATCATACAAGAGAAAATGATAATTATCATTGCGACTATTGTTAATGTATATGAGATATAAAAGCAGGGTGTCCCTGTATTACTTAGCAGCCACTTGCTCATAATTTTTCTCTATTGGATACCTTGCATATTCACCAGGTAAGAATGAAATAGATTAACATGGAGTATGTCATCTTCTGTCTTTCTGTCGAGTGAAGGAGTATGACTGTATAGGATAAACACTAAATTGGTCATATTACTTCTGGTTCGTGGTCTACTATGCTTCTACAGCTGACAAAGACACTTGCTATTGCGGACACATTAATTTGTCTAGAGTTTCAAAGGACGAAGCGGTACTTTCCGAAGAGAAAGAAGTAATGCGCTGTCTTGCAGGTAGCTTAGGATAAAGTGTGCGGAGTAGTGGTGGATTCATTAGTTCGTTATTCCAGAACAACTATTATTAGCTATAGTTCGATTCAAAGACAGGTATTCATTAGATTTCCTACGCTTAACCACTTGAGCAACCAAAACACCCTAACTAGCTACATACTGACGATCTGTGCAGCCGCGTGTCACAATGCAAGTGGCATGTTATTCGATCGGCGACGTGGAGTCCATACGCTTTTTGATTTCAAACTGACTTTTGGAGGAAAAAAAAGCAGCCATTTTATCAAAAACGAATGGTTTAGCGGATCTAAAAAAAGCAATAAGCCCCTAAATATATAGTCCACAAGACATCTGACAATCATACAAAAATAGAAATGGATCACGTCGACAATAGTCATAGCACCCATCAGATTTTAACGTCCGTCAGATTCACATAAGAACTCGACACTCAAGAATCTCGATTATATTAAACACCAAATGTACCCTTCATTTTGATAAAGTATGTGTCTTGTAGGTCTTACATCTCTTGCAGGTCTTGTGGGTCCTACGGATCTTCCGGGACTTGCAGGTCTTGTAAGTCTTATGGGTCTTACGGATCTTGTCAATCTTGCGGGTCTTCCAGATCTTGCAGGTCCTGTGGATTTTGTGTGTCGTGTGAGTTTTATGTGTCTTTTAGATCCTCCAGGTCTTGTAGGTCTTACGAGTCTTGCAGGTCTTACGAGACTTACAGGTCTTCCGGGTCTTGGAGATCTTGCGGGACTTGCGCGTTTTGTGTGTTTTGTGGGTCTTGGGAGCCTTCCGGGTCTTGTAGATCTTCCGGGCCTTGCAGCTCTTGTGAGTCTTGCAGGTCTTACGGGACTTACAGGTCTTGCGGGTTTTGGAGACCTTGCGGGTCTTGAGGGTCTAGCACGTCTTGTAGGTCTTACGGGTCTTGTGGGTCTTACGGGTCATACGGGTCTTGCGGGTCTTACGGGTCTTGTGGGTCTTACGGGTCGTGTGGGTCTTACGGGTCTTGTAGGTCTTACGGGTCTTGTGGGTCTTATGGGTCTTGTGAGTCTTGTGAGTCTTGTGAGCCTTACGGGTCTCGTGGGTCCTGTGAGTCTTACGGGTCTCGTGAGCCTTGCGGGTCTTCCGGGCTTTGTAGCTCTTGCGGTTCTTGTGGATCTTGCGGATCTTATGGGTCTTGCGGATCTTGTGGGTATGACGGGCTTTGCGGGTCTTTAGAACTATCATCATGATATATATATATTGTATAGACCCGTTTTTTTATAGGGTGTGGATTTTGCAGCGCTTTAGAGTTATGATCATGACAATTCTAAAGAGTCGCAAAGCCTGTATCCTGTAAAAGAGGTGGAGTACATACTATACATATGATTGTGACAATTCGAAAGACTTCCAATAGCCGCGCTCTACAGAAAAGGAATATATACTGTACATGTAATCATGATAATTATAAAGAGCAGCAAGCACCGCATTTTAGTTTGAAATCAAGTTTTGTTTTTCTTGCAAATTCAAATTGAAATCAAAAGAACCATTGTATGGTGGTGTGAGAGAAACAATAGTCAATAAATAGTTCCTAGATATTTGATTGCGAGATTGTAACACGGTATCTACTGAATACTTGTTAAACAACCTAGCCACTCTGCAGTAACAGATGCAGAGATTAGCTTTATCAACTATTCGTCTCTTGTTTCTCAATTTTCTTAGTAATCTCTTTTACAAATAGATTAGATATAAAAGGGCACGGCACGTTGAACCGATGATCTTGTTTGTTTTTTTGAAAAGTTGAAAACGTTGCCCTTCAAGTAGGAAATAAATATTGAAAATTGATAAAGAACAAATCGATGTATGTGAAATCTGCAGTATATGCCATGATTCAATGTTCGCACCTAAGCTTATGATCGATTTTTGTTCGACTGAGCCATGGCTTTCATCGATACTCAGTACTATTCCTGATTTTAAGTGATTCGTTCTTTTTTATATTTTCTTTGTCTCGTTCTAGATAATAATAGACATATATATTACATCTTTTCTGCTCAACAGTTAATTTCAAAAGTGATTACATCAATTACACATGGCTTTTATAGTAGTCCCAAACAGGTAAGTTACTTTTCATTTTTGTTTTATGGATTGGGTTAGAATGAGTTGCTGAGCGATTCTGATGTCGAAGATGAAATCATGTTTCATAGTTGAACGATGATAATTTTCGTGAAAAAGTTCTGATATTTCTGTGATAGACAGAAGGGATAATGTTGTCATCAATTTCGAGAATGATGTTTTTAGGAGAAAGAGATAGAACAGATAGTTACACAGTAGGGTATCGTGAGATGTAAATAAGGTTAGTGCTCGGTTATACGTCATATAGATTGAATATGAAGAAAAAAGCAACAGTTAATCTTTCATAGATCCGAGGACTCAGAGTGAAACTCTCCTAAGCGACGAAAAGTTTCATCAATCAACACAAAAAGTCATGAGCCAGACTAAAACAATTCTTTTACAGGGTGTCATAAAACCTTTACGCTCTCTCTACAACTTAAAGTATCAATGATATCATGAATGTATTTTATACTAAATTAAAGTGCGTCAAAAACTGGATTTATTGGTATTAAATAATAAAGGTTATGAAGACATTTTAATATAGAACTTGAGAAATTTTCCAAAATTTGATACTTTTTTTAGTGTAGAAAAGTAAAGTATCAGTAATTCAAAAATGAAGTAAAACATTTTTCTTGGATATTTTTACATGGTTCGATAGAGCTCGTCGAGCTATACAGAACTGTATATTTCAAAAATATTTCGAGCCATCTTTTTGAGATAAAAAGTGTAAAAAACTACTTAGGAAACCTCAAAAAATGTTGAAAAACTTCATTTTTTTCACATGGAAGAAAAACACTCGATTTTTCAATAAAATTAGCTTTTGTTCATTATTTTTGCTATCTCAAATGCCTCGACACATATTCATCTGATGTAGTTTTTCACGCGACACTGGATGAGCATATTTCGAAACATTTGAGATAGCAAAAATAATGAACAAAAGCTAATTTTATTGAAAAATTGAGTGGTTTTCTTCCATGTGAAAAAAAAGTGAAGTTGTTGAACATTTTTTGAGGTTTCATAAGTAGTTTTTTACATTTTTTATCTCAAAAAGATGACTCAAAATTATTTTTGAAATATATAGTTCTGTACAGCTCGACGAGCTCTATCGAATCATAGGAAAATATCCAAGAAAAATATTTTACTCCATTTTTGAATTACTGGTACTTTACTTTTCTACATCAAAAACAGTATCAAGTTTCTGAAAATTTCTTCATAACCTTTATTATTTAACACCAATAAATCTAGTTTTTGATGCACTTTAATTTGGTATAAAGTACATTCGTGATATCATTGATACTTTAAGTTGTAGAGGGAGCGTAAAGATTTTGTGACACCCTGTAGGATGAGTAGAAAAAGTAATAGTTGATCAGTCTATGAAGCCCGACTTTTGGAAGTATATGTGCTGCCATTTATCGAAATCATGAGATTTCAGACTGGATTTTTTATATATTATGTAACTTTTGATTCTCTACAAAATACTTCTAGGATAATGACTTCAAGGATTTTTTAAGGATTTTCATTTATAAAAACTTTCACCTTACACAAATTAGGAGTCTATATTGGATCGAATAGCATAAACAATTCCTTCGAAAAAACAAAATACTTTTGGGCCTTCTCTACAACTCTGAGAAAGGGTATGGAAATTTCGAGGAAATATTTTTCTTGCAATTAAAATATGATTAATCAGGAAGAGAAGAATAAGAATGCTGATCACAACCGTGTACTGAAAGTCCGTTATTATTTGTAACTTATTAGTATAAAGACCACTTTTATAGTGGAACATAAGACGTTTTATAGAAAGAAAATGTCCTAAGATGCTCAATTTATACTACTAAATCACAGATGATAACGGACTTCCAGTACATGGTTGTGATCAGTATTCTTACTCCCATCTTCCTGATTGATCATATTTTAATTACAAGAAAAAGAAATTTTTTCGAAATTCCTATACCTCTCCTAACAGCTATAGAGGAGATGTAAAAGTTTTTTTCTTTTTTCGAAAGAATTGTCTATGCCATTCGATCCAACATAGAATCCTAATTTGTGTGAGGTGAAAGTTTTTATAAATGAAAATCCTTATAAAATCCTTGAGGTCATTATCCTAGCAGTTGTTTACCTCGTAACTGACAGTATATGCCTCTTTTTGTTATCCATTCTCAAGTTTTTTTCCGATAATTTTTTACCATTTTGTAGAGAATCAAAAGTTACATAATATATAAAAAATCCAGTCTGGAATCTCATGATTTCGATAAATGGCAGCACATATACTTCCAAAAGTTGGGCTTCATAGACTGGTCAACTATTACCTTTTCTACTCATTCTAGTTCAGTAAATGAATAATATACAGTATTCGACATAGATCATTTTTTTGCATCTTTGTATGCTCTATAGTTTGGTATATTACATAAGAAAATTTTCTCGCTCCTATTAATATAATCTTAGTAGATATTTATGAGATAATTTATTACTATTTTTGTTGATAGTAGGCAGATGGTGTAAGAAGTAGATCAAGGCTAACTTTACAATGAAAAATCTAAATTAGCTAAAATGTTAGGTTTAGTAGTTATAGACAATGTCCTTTCGAATGCATGCGAAAAATCAAAAATGAAAATGTTGTTGAGTGCCTCGTATACTGCCTCATGGTCGTTGTTCTTCTAGAGGCTCTCTTAATGAGTTACGAAAGTGTTCACATATGCACTTTTTACGATTTTGTTTTCGTTAAAATCTCAACGTATTCTTACGCGTTTTTCCTTTGTTTGTCTGACTTGGATGAAGTGTGAAAAGGAAAAAGAATAATTTTGTGTAATTTATAATTTAATAAACTTTAAATTACGTGAAAATAATTTATATTTGAAATAAATTTATATTACTGAACTTAATTTGTGCACAAATTAAATTGAAAATAAATATAAAGTGGTACCCCTGCTCTCAACATCACATCCATCAGATAACAACAAGCAGACGTTTTGATTAGATGAAAGAAACGAAACGTCATTTTATAGATCTATTTGTAAATTAATCCCGAATGATCGATGATAACGGAGATGAGATACGAACAGAAAATAAAGTAAGAAAGCAGAAGTAGAAATATCATAATCGATGTGAATAAACAATAGAGAACAAGAAACAAGGATCATAGTCTCGAATATGAGTAGAGAAACGAAACCGGACGGATTGAGTGATCATGCAATATGTATCGAAAATGTATAAAGAGAAAGCAAGCACCGACAAAAAAATGTGTATGTATAAGAGAATAGGCATGCAGCAGTTACTCAAAAAAATCGATATCATATTAATTGCAATTTAACTGATTTATTCTAATTCTAAATATCGGTGAAGAGGACTCTTTCTGTGACAATGATATATGTGCATAAATATGTGATTGTAGCAGTCAATGTATAGGCTACTTAGAGATTGAGGAAAATTTGAAACAATAATATTTTCATAAGATAGAGCAATGAAACAGCGGCGATCTGCAGTGTCTTTAAGATAATTCATATTTCCTCTTATTTTATAACCAAGATATTTGGCTTTTGAAGAGAAAGTCTTTTGAGACAAATAGTTTTAGACGTCGCGAATTAAAATATTTTTTTAAATAGAATGAGTAGAAAATATTGAGAAGTTGTTTTTGTGAGCTTTGAGGGAGTAATTGTGGACTGCATTGTTGTCCGCCCAAATGATATTCGTAAGGCAACTAAGATTGAAATAAACCATTCGTTTATACTTTAGATTTGATAGGTGAGAGTGAGGAATGTAGTTATCAGAACGATCAAGTAATCTAAAATTGATCTAGCACTTGCCATAGAAATGAGAAAGTCATTCATTTACACAAAGAGAATACTCCGAGAATTTTCTAAAGAAAAACATTCCTAGAGATCATATACAAAGATTGCGTATTTCAATAGAATATCATTAATCGAACATAGTTTTTTAGTCATATTTTTTGTGCCATATGGTAGTAGTGTTTTTGAATGCATTAATATCCCAACTTTATGTGAAATTTGCGAGCAATCTTGATCTTTTCTAAGGCTTTTTTTTCGAAAAGTTCAGTTTAAGAAGTATTTCTTCACTCTTCTGGAACGAAAAAAATTGTTCTGATTTCCAAATTTGATAGAAAGTATACTATG